TCAGCCTTGCGGGACCTTGTGCAGCAGCAGGGCCCGTAAACAGCCTTCTCAGTGCTGTGCTCCCTCCATCACACTGAAGGCCAAGCACGAACCCAACAGCACAGAGTGGGGAGGGGTCAGCTCACATGGATGGGAGAAAACAGCTCTGCAGCCTCTCCATCAGCCTATACTCTCCCGCACCCCACTGCATGGGACTGGTCTTGGTTCTCCCTGGCTCTAGTGTCCAGCCCAATCATTTGTCTTTCCAGAATGACCTAGCTCTCAACACCTTCTTCTCATATGTTATCTCTTTAGCTCCAGGAGTACCCATTAGATTATCTCCTCCATTTTACAGATGAGAAAGCAATCTGGAGAAACTTGTATGAGTCATGACCCCTCCTAAAGTCTCAGATGCCCAGTGGAAAGGCTGCTTGATGAATGTGGCACCAATTCCTTTGGGACAGGCCACACAGCATAGCTTGGCCTCATGTTCTCAGAGGCTGGCCACCTGCTCTCACCTGAGATGGCAGCCAAGGCACCCGGAGGGCCCTGTTCCAGTCCTGGCAAGTGTTAGTTGTGAGGACACTCTTCTCCCCTGCGTGGTTGGCTTTCTCTGCACACTCCTGGGAAGAATGATTAGTGATTTCACACTTCATTGGATGTTAATGTGTGGAGTTCACATAACCTCATTCATGGTAACTCTCCCTGCCTCTGCAGCACTCACACAACCTTGTCATTGGGAGCATGTATATTATGGGTTCCCAGAGCAGGTTTGAGTATCCCCATTAGGATCACTGAATCCAGAACACACCTGGCCTGTGTCCACCTAGGCTACCAGGCCTCAATTTGGTTGACAGCATGTGACTCCCTTACCCATCTGTCTAGCTGCTTGTTTGGATCCAGTAGAGATTTCTGGTCTTAGCCTTGCTCTGGAAATGGACTTCTAGGCACATGTGACCAAGGCTTCTTGCCTGATACTTTGTAGCAGGCTACACTCAGCTCTTGAGCTACAGTTCTAGGAAACTCCCTGGCACTGGGGCTGTTTGCTCATACTAGTTCTCAAGGACAGGTTTTGTAGACTGTTCCGTCTGCACTGTTTCAGATCGGGAAAAAAGAGGAGGAGAAATGCCCATCCCTGTGTGTCCTGCAATTCTATTATTGTGAGATCTCTTTTGTGAACATTGCCTTTATAGAAACGGTCATTCCACAAAAAGAAGTTTTGCACCAGTGTAATATTTGGACTTGAACGTATGCTTGAGTTTCCTGCATGTGGACAGGTTTGACTCAATGACCACCAGGTGCCTGTTCTGTGTTATCACATGGTCAGCACCACTACGCCCTCTGTCCTCTGAAGGTGCGTCCCTGGCAGCCGAGATGCACATGAGATATTGGCCTGGCCGGGCAATTTGCACGGCCTTCCAGGGAGGGCATTAGCATATAAATAGCAGATGCAATGACGGCCATCACAGCTGAGCACGTTTAATTTTTAGTTTATAAGATAGAATGGGTTTTTAAATGCATAGCCATCAAGCCGCTGAAAGACAAATGCAGTTTGGAACTCACTTGTCTGACGAGGCCTTACATCATTTTTTTTTAAAAGGGAAATAGACACACATAAAACTGAACAAAAGTGATTTCTTGGGTGAAAAGTAATTGAGATTGCGCACCAAGTTAATTAGATCGTACAAAATTTATTTAATGGTCCCAGCTGTATCTCTAGGCTGTGGGCTTGGCGGCCATGGCTTTCAGCATGTTGAGATGCTCTTCCCATTCCTTTGCAAATAATTAGCACTCACCACCTGACTTCTGTAAACTGATTGCGTTGTATATTTTAGCCGTTTTATTGCTTGTTTAATTATGATCATGACGACTCATTTTTCTAAATCCTTTTAACTGTGGGTGAGAATCAATTTGTATAAAACCAGCAGTACCCCTACCGTGGCAACAGTAGTGGGTAAAAGCTTGTGTCTGTCCTGTGGGGTGGTTGAGTTGGCCCTCTGTAGGAGTCAGTAGTTCCCACCAGGGGGCCAGCTTTGGGAGAAGTCATCTGACTGGCTGGAAGGGTTTCTGAGCACCCACCCTATCCCTCAAAGGCACCCAAGGATTTCACCTGTCAGAAAATGTATGAGTGAGATGTCCAGCCTGTGCTGATGCGTGGCTCCCATGTGCAGATCTCATTAAGGGTTGGTCCTCCCCACTGGTTTCACGAAGTTTTGTGTAGTTTCATGACAGTATAAAACTTGGCCCTCATGTGGGATAAAAGTGAATTGTTCTTGAGAACATTCAAAAGTGGCCCCATTTTGAAGTTATTACCAGTCCCTCTATTACCACGTATGAGTTCTTTCCCAGGACCTTTGGCATCCAGCTACTTTTTGTGGACCCCTCAGAATGCAGGCTTCTCTCTGATCTCCCCTGTGACCTTAAAGGCTGGTGACCACCACAGTGGTCATGACCTCTCTATTATTTAGATTCCAAAACAGTGAGTGGAGGCTGGTCAACTGAGGTTTAAGACCATCCCATGAAGGCCTTCTCCCCTCTGGGCTGTGATGCCTTTCCAGGGGACTGCCTCTTGTGACCATACTGTTCCTGGTCAGACTCCTGAGCAGATCACAGGAGTGTCCCAACAGCCAGGGCTCAGAGCTTTTCCACATCAGAGTAATTTCCCATCCCGCAGGTATGGCTCATCTGTCAGCTATCCTTGGTAACTTTGGCACCAAGGATTTGCAATATCAATATTTATCAAATGTGAACTAAAGCTTCACTTTAGTTTTACCTAAGTATTAACAGTGGCATCTCTAAATTCTAGTTACAGTTTGAGGACTCCATCTCAGAATAGTTGCAGAGTAAAGTATAGAAATGGCTTGCAGGTCTTTCTGTGGACCCAAAGAAAGCCTGGATCTTTTTCAAGGCAAACACCTGGTGGTGGAAGAGTAGACAGCCAGAGGCCTTATCAGTGCTAATTTAAGAACAAGGAAGAAACCAGTGCTTCAAATTTAATCTAAAAAATAAACGATTTTAGTTGGGGAGGAAGAAGATAAAATTCTAATAGTTACCTAAGCCGTTGAATATTTTTAGGGAATGAAATTTTGATAAAAAGTCCCCAGCAAAATTCAAGGGTGTGAGCAATAAGCATAATATTTTATGAAAATGACCCCCATATTTAAAACCTGGCACTATATGTTATGCATTGTAGCACCCAGCCCACATCTACCTTTTAGAAAATTAAAACACATAAATTCTGTTTAGTGTTTGATACGCACTGCACTAGCTGAGCCCGTAATGCCCTAAAACCTTGGGCTGCTTTCCACCTTTCATAAATTCCTGGGTAGATTCTATACAAAAATAATTTTCAGGTCCGTGGCTCATTGTTATTCAAACGTGATTGATCGTCGTCATTTGCTCAGCTCGGGAGTTAAGTGCCCCTGTCATTTCCAAAGAGTATAATTGGGACGTTTCACAGGTCAGCGGTGGAGACAGGCTTCCCTTTTGATCAGTGTTAGACTGATAACAAAAATTACAGTTTCTGATGATTAATGTCTCCTGTGCTTCCCAGATGCACAACTGTGGGCTGCACCAAAACAAAGTGCATTTGCATCTGATTATGCTCTCTCGGGCAGCAGTCTCCCAGGCTGGGGCATAGGGCCAGCAGGCACGGCCAGATGTGGCTGCTGATGGCTCCAGCAGCCCCATGATGGAGCCTGGCTCTACCTGGGCGGGCAGCATGCTGAGCTAGGGCATAAGTAGGTGATGCACTGTAGATCCCTCATCCATGGTGGCTATCATTTGCTTGGCTTGGCTTCCGATGCACAGTAGCTCTAATCTAAGACTAGAAGCTACTCCTTAGATGTCCTTTCTCCCTCCAGGAAATAGTTAGGACCATGAGGGACATCTGTGAATTCAAAGTGTTACTGTTGGAAGTAGTTTTTAAATTAATGTTTAAGTTTTTCAGAGTTTTTCTTATAACTCTATAAGGGTCCACTAGTTGGCATTCATTTGACAGGGGTCTTCCTTGTCTCAACTTTGCCTTGGAGCTTTTGTTTGTTTGGCTTTTTTGTTTTGTTTTGTTTTTTGAAACATGCTCTCTCTATTATGAAGCAGGCCAGGAACTTGCTACATAGACCAGGTTGGTTCCTCTAACTCACAGAAATCCACCTGCCTCTGCCTTCTGACAGCCTGGTCCACTCTCAGATGTTCATGGACACTCAATGCAGAGCTCCTGCTGGTCAACAATGTATTATTGTTACTCTAATTGAATCTTCTCTTCATCAGCCTTTATACATTCCCCTTTGAGGTTAAAGATATGAACCATCATTCCCAGTCAATTGCCCTGGAGCTTTGGAAGCTGCAAGGGCATTGAAACTTGGGGAACACCCAAATTCCAAGGGTATCACAGCTCAAGGGGCCACCACAATCTAAAGAGTATCACATCCTTAGGGGCATGGACCTCCTTGCCTTGGTGAGCTGAGCCTGGGGTCCTCTAGTGTGACAGGTGGGCAATGGAGGAAGGTTGAGTTTCTGGCATCCTGTCCTGGGTGTGGAAGACTCTGGAAGAATATGATGTCAGTGGGAGGTAGGGTGGGAGGAACCTTGTCAGAGGATGTTTCTGCGATGAGATTGGAGGAGTAGTGGGTCTTAGGCATAGCGAATTCTATGACCTGTGACCCTGGTGGCTTACTTGGGTATGGCAGAGCTGTAGGTAGGATGGCAGCAGCATTAATTCAGGCTCTGCTGCCTGCTTAATGGGGATGACCAGCTGTGTAAGTACCTGGTGATGCACACTGCATCAGGCACAAGAGAGTTGATGGTGGCTAGGGAATGGCTCCAGGTGGGAGCTAAGCAAAGGCACTAGGATTTAAGAATAAGAACAGCCTTAGAGGCATTGTAATTAAGGACCACATCTGATATTGAAGTCCTAAACTAGAGACACGACCCTACGGGAAGCAGCACCTGTATACAGTCCATAGACAGCTGTTGTTGCATAGAGCTGATGATCTCATTTGTACTTGGGGATGTTTTCACAGACAGAAGCCCTGGAGGACAGCGAGGATGAGGATCAGGACTTTGTGGAGGTCCCAGAGAAAGAAGGTTATGAGCCTCGAATCCCTGACCACCTCCGGGCTGAATATGGTGAGCCGTGGGCCCTCAAGGGGCAGGATTAGACATCAAGGGTATTGGGGAGGACAGGTCCCCAGTCTAGACATTGCCTCTAGGTTGTTACATCAACACTGGGAGCTTAGCCTTCAGCTTCCCTTGTACAGCTGTTGTGTCAATAGTTGTTGCTTGTATTTAAGTTGTGGAGTTTTTCTCTTGTGCCCTGAATCCCCTGGGGGCCAGCACATGGGCAGGCTTCCATCACACAGAATCTTCTGGGCCATTTAATGCTCTGGCGCGGGGCAGTTGTGAGTGCCTTTGCCCACATAGAGCCTGAGCCAGGGTAGAGGGGAGGCAGATACCACGATAAAAGCATCCCTACTTTGTGTCTGTGAGGTCACAGATGTGGCCTCTGACTCAGCAATGTCTGAACACTTTAGCAAGAATCAGCTTGTCACACACATCACCACTGTGATAGGCAAGAATGTCTCATCTAGGATTTTCCTCTTCTCCAAGAACTCTAAAGGCCACACTCTGTGCCCAAGGCTTGTGCCCTCCAGAGAGAAAGTGTAGCCTTAAAGGGGACCCAGGACCCAGGTCACAGCCTTGGGTTATGGCATTGCGTCTGTCAAGAGGAAGCAAATACAAACAAGTACTCTGGCTTCTCTGGGGAAGTACACAAGTAGATTTGAACTGGCATCTGTGGGGTGGAATATGAATTTGTTAAGAGAATTTAGATGATTATGACTTGTGTGTAAAGGAAGACATGACCCATTAGGGGTGTCACACCAAATTAGCCCAGGCAGTCTCACCCCTCTCCACTCCCTCAGTCCTCTGCCCAGTGCCATATGCTGGGGAGGTTGGGTGCTTGGGGGCGCAGTCAGTGAATGAACCTTAGTGTCGGGAGGAACCTCCCACACTAAGGGGGTACTGGTGATCCCTTGACTGAGTACAGTAGCCTGATCTGGCCCACTCTGCAGGAGTCCCAATGTTGTAATGCCCCAAGAAGAGCTCCCTGCCTAGTAGAGATGCCCTCTTATACCTGCTTGCCTCACCCGCTGGTTGTGGGCACCCTGCCTTGCTGAGTTTTGTATACCCCCTTTGCAGACCTCAGCCTTGCAATACTCTCATGGAGTTCTTCAGTCTGCAAGTCCATGACCCCTAAACCTCCTTCACCCCCATGCTTCTCCAAGCACCCATCTCTATCTAAAATTGATTTTGCCACTTCCCAGCTTATCTTTTCACCTAGTGGGAGATACCTCATGACCAAACCCTCACCCAAAGTGGTCATAGCCAAGTGCCACACCTAGCACCTGGGTTATCCAGAAATGCTTCAGGTATCCCATGGGATGACATGGCCATCCCATGTCATCCTGTGCTTAGAGTGGTCTTTGCCTGTTTCTTTTACCCTCAGCTGGATGAGGCTCTGGTCTAGCAAGGTGCTGATATTTAGAACAGTGGGCTGTGAGGTCAGGTAAAGCAGGGACACTTCTCGTGTCCAGACAGTGTGGGTAGCACCTACTTGTGCACAGGGTCTTATCTGACTAGATGTTCTTCTGTCCTCCTTGGAAGCCACATTTTCCTTCTTAAGCTGGGGACTGACTGGCTCTTCAGAGGAGCTGACTGGGTCTTCAGTGGAGCCTGGGAGCCAGCACTGATTCAGGGCTCATGGTTGCACTAGAATTTTTTAGCTTGGGCCTCTGTGTCCTGTTCTGATGTTCCATGTCCTTCTAGCAGATATGGTAAGTGTGACTTTACATGGGCTTAGAGGAGCTCCAGGTTACATGTAGTAGGGCCAGCAGTGACAAGCTGACACTGAGGATTGTCCGCCAAGAACAAAACAGCTTCATTCCATCATAGGAGAGAATGTCTTTGGCCTGTGGCTTGGGAATGGCCATTGATGGTGCCAATGGGGACAGCAGCCTCTGTTCACCACGTATTATTCCATGTATACCTTGTCATGGAAGGGCCTCCAAAACTGGTAAGGGGCTTCATTCTAACCTAACAAAGGCAGAGGCCCTTGTGTCTGCTTCATTACCTGTAATTCATCCCTTTCTTGGAGAGGCTCAAGGCATCTACTTTAAACCTGGAAGGCAGTGGTGGCTGATGTGGTCTGAGCCAGGTGTTGTTGTTTTGTGTTTTCAAGATGACTTCAAGTGGAAAACATGGCAGAGGCTGGGTGGGCTGGCTGAATGTACAGGTGGACCTACAACAGCTACACTCAGTACATATAATCTGGCCATCAGTGCCACCACCGGGCTGAGGGCCACTGGTACCAAGGAAGGGTTGGTGGGCCCTCGAGGCCAGGATACATGACACACCTAGAGTGTGTGATGATTCCTGGAACATTCACAGGAGGGGCTGGGGTAAGAAGGACAAGTCCTAGCCCCATGGACAGGACTTGTGGCAGGAAAGGAAAGTGGAAAGCCTCCGTCATTGCACCAAATGGAGACTCCCTCGGGAGTCCTGGGAACTAAGTCAGCAGCCTAGGCTGGAGTGTCCAGACAGACAGACAGTGTGAGAGAGCTCAGTTCATAATACTAGTTTATAGTCCATCACTGTTTTTCCAATTAAACACAGGCGAATCTGAAGTGTTAGATTCAGTCTAAATCCACACAGCTGAGGAAATCAGGCTCTTTTTTCTTTCTCATTTCTTTCTCTGAATTTTCACTGAGGGGCTTTTATCTTCCCCTTAATCCTACCATTTCTGTCAGGACATAATCTCTTTCTCAAATTTACATTTTAATTACAAGGCCAGCTGAACTAGGTAAAATCAATAATGTCAGCGAGAGGCAGCCTAACTTTGTGCGGAGCCCCAGCCTCTCCATTTCCTCCTATCGATCCATCTCTCCCGCACTGTCTGCTTTAGTGCTTCAGGCAAATAGGTGCCACTTGGCCAATTTAAACAAAAAAAGGAGCTTTGGACATTTTTATGATTCTTTCTAAAAGCAACTATGGGAGTAAATTTTGGCCAAGAGACTGGAGTCAGGCCCTGCAAGGCAGCAGGGCCGTGGTGGTCAGCAGGATGATGTCTCACTCTTTAGGGTCACACATCCTCTGGCCTGAGAAGCATGCTCTGCTTTTTGGGTTTTAACTTTGAAAATATGTCAGTGAGATTGATTTTCTACGACGGTGTGAAAACAGTGGTGTGTTCGGTGCCCTGAGTGTTTACCCTGCTCTAACACGCTTACCCATCTTCTTAATGGTTTAAAACAACAAATCAATGAAAAATATATTTCATTCTTGTAACTCTTAGGAATTCTCATATTGATCTTTTGGCTGCGATTGTATCTATCTAAATGTCACATTGTTCATTTACCAGCCTTGCCTCCCTGCTGTGTATGTATGTATGTATGCAGGGCTGAGCTTACCGCTGGCTTCCACATTGCCGGTAACATTGTAATGGGAAACACGGAGGGTCACATGGAAGTGTTTGCCAACCAAACCTTGGACACTGTTTTTAAGGACAGAGCAGAGAAGGGGCTGCCTGTTATCTTCTGGCACAGTGTACCTAAGCCTTAGGTGGCAGACTGTGACTCCATTGCCCTTTCAGAGTGACCCTGCACAAGTCTTCTGCACCCCACCCATGAATCTCCAAGAGACAGGAGCCCTTACCTGTACATAGTGTGTACCAGAGCAGAGATAACAAATGTTTCTATAAAGGGCCACCAAGTAAATATTTTGGCTTTCTGGGCTACATCAGGTCTGTGTCATGGTTCCACTCTAAAAGCAACACAGACAAATGGCCATAGCTAGAACCAGTAAAACTTTGTCATAGAAACAGGCTGTAAAACAGATTTGGCCTGTTGCCTCCAGGGCTGGTTGTTTCTGTCCTATGTCAGGCTGACCTCTGCTATAGCAAGCCCATGATGAATTCAAAACTCTGGTGACTTAGTGCTGTGACCCCTCAGAGCTGTAGGCTTTGCCTTCCCAAGGGCCTCGGGTGCTTTGGCCTTGATGAATGTCTCTTTGTGTGCATAGACTTTGTTTTGTTTGGTTTTGGAAACAGTATCCTGCATTGAGTTCAAGCTGCCTTCAACTTGAAATCCTCTTACCCAAGCCTTCTGAGTACTGTAATCACATGCTTGTATTATATACCTAAAGCACTCATTGACCTTGAGTCTAGAAATTAATGCCCAGACTTAGCATTTTTTAAATGAATTTTTTCTTGATTTAGGCTCTTACTATGTAACCCAGACTGGCTTTGACCTTGAGATTCTCCAACCTGAGCACCCCAAGTTCTGGATGACAAGTGACATCCAGCTTATATTTTGATGATTAGGTACAGATCCATCCACATTTATAATACCTTCATGTATTTGTTTCTTTATACTAGTTTTTAAACTTCAGATCTACTTTCCTGGTATTAACCCGTTTTCTCAGCTGTCTTTTGATTGTTTATTAACTACTTTCTTTTAGCCTCTCAGTAGCTATTTATTAGATGAACATATTTGACTTGCCCAGTCACATACCGATTTACTTACTAGTCCATGTGACAGGTGGTCCTCGGTGTACTCAGAACTGGGCACCACACTTTTTCTGGCTTTGCTGCTGCTATTACTGTTCGGCTTTATTCTTTGGTTAAAGATATATCTTTGGCCCCAGCACTCAGGAGGCAGAGACAAGAGGATCTCTGTGAGTTCAAGGCCAGCCTGGTCTACAGCTCGAGTTCCAGGACAGGCTCCAAAACTACACAGAGAAACTCTGTCTCAAAACAAACAAACAAACAAACAAAAAAGTATCTTTGTACCCTTCTGATGGCTGTCTCTAATTTTATGACTCGCCTAGTTTTATCATTCATTGCTTCATTTTGTGGTTCTGGGGCAGAACCCAGGATCCCAGGGCTGCACATGTGTTAAGCATGCTTTTCTACCCAGCCCTCAGCCCTCTCACTCACTAATTTTTTATGGTTTCTATGCTGTCCTCTATATAAGACAGGTGATCAAGGACCCTCTTATTCTACCTCCATGGCATTGGGCCACCCTGGTACCCTAGTACCCTGGTATCCTAGTGTCCTGATAGCAAGTCATTTACTCATCGTTATCATGTCCTGCACTTGTGATTTAGATCTTTTTTCCTAATGGATCACTTATGCTAAGGGTTTCTTGTTTTTGTTTTTGTTTTTTTGAGACAGGATTTCTCTGGGCTTTGGAGGCTGTCCTGGAACTCTCTGTAGACCAGGCTGGCCTCCAACTCACAGAGATCCACCTGCCCCTGCCTCTGCCTCCCGAGGGATTAAAGGCGTGCGCCACCAACACCCAGCTTGCTAAGGGTGTTCTTAAAGAATCTGTAAGTGGTGGTCCTTGTAAGGTCTTGGGTCCACAAGACCCCCTTCCTGTGCCTGTGGTGGGCGTGACAGCTCAGCAGGGTATTCGGCTTGGCTCTTCTTCCTACACACTTTCTTTTGTCTTTTTTCTCTACTGTGGTGCTGAGGGTGGGACCCAGAGCTTCACACATACTAGGTTCAAGCTCTGCCGCAACACTATACCCACAGCCCTTCCTTGTACCCTTCAAGATGGCATTTCAAGGCCTTTAACTTGCTGCTATGGCTGAAAGTGCTGCTTCCAATGGGGTTTTCAGCTCACCTTTTTCTTTGTTATCATTAATGTTCTCTAACTTCCTCTTTCAGCCATAGTTGTCCCTTTGCCTCCTCTGGCAGCAAGTCCCTTAATTTCAGGAAAACTGGCTCATTCTTCAACTGTTTCCCACACTCCGGTTATATTTTATTTCCTCTGGAATTCTAGAAACAAGGACACCAGTACCTGTGTATCTGCCCTTCACACTGCTGAGCTGTGCAAGTTTGCTCATGTGGGCTCTCATTGGTCCCTCTGCCCCACAGGCACACAGCAAGTAATTGCTCTTCTGCTGTATTTCCTGCTCCTCACCCCCTTTTTCATAAATTTTTATTTCATGTGTATGGATGTTTTGCCAGCTTGTGTGTTTGTGCACCATTTGTGTGCCTAGCACTTGAAGAGGCCATAAGAAGGTATCAGGTCCCCTGGCATTGGAATCGGGCAGTTATAAGCTATCACAAGGTGCTAGAAATTGAACCTGGGTCCTCTAAAAGAACTGCTGGTTCTCTTAGCACTAAGCCATCTCTCCAGCCCCTTGCTTCTCATCTTTGATAGACGATGTCTTCAACACCTTCCTTTTCTGACTGCCAGAATGGTGCTCTGCTGTCTACAGTCCTCCCCAGCTTGTTTTCCTTCTTGCTCTATCTCAGCTGTAGAATTTGCCTAGTCTAAGAAATGGTGCATCATCTATCCTCTCCCTTTGGTGGCAGGGCACTCAGAAGTCTGAGCTTTTCTGTCAGTGCAGGTCTCACTGGTAGCAGGGCTGTTATCCAGCTGAGGTTGCTCCTGCAGTGAATGTGAGAAGTGGGTAGAGCCTCTGGAGTTCCAGTTCAGACTATGCTCTGAGGTCACCAAGGGTCAGAGTTGGCCCTACACGCAACCTCCTAAGACCCAGACCCAAGAGGGGGCAGGACTCTGCCATTGGAGATGTGAGAGTGAACACTGAGCTAAGGTTGGCATCATCTGCCATATCCTGTACAAATCCTGTTGTCATGTGTCAACATCATAACCTCCTCTAGATGGTAGCAGGGCAGGTATTCCAGGGTGGCATACTGTAGCCAGGAACTTGATCTGCCCCACAGCCACAGAAAAGGTATTGCAGTCACAGAACCCAAACCTAACTATAGCTACTCCTGTGGCTTTTGAAGTTTAGGGCAGAAGTTGGGAACAACCTTGAGTGCTTCTTCTGAGGACAATACAGAGGAGAAAAGGTACTACTAAGTCTCAGCTTGAATCATGTGTCACCCTCATACAAAGGCTGGTTTTCTCTGTTCCTTGCTCAGTGAAGGGAGGGAGACCTGCTGTCAGGGGGAGGGAACTCTGTTCGCACTATGGGTAGCCTCATTTTAGTGTGGCAGGTTTTGTATATAGAAGTCTGACTTATTTGAGGTTTCCATTGCTGCAGTGAAATACCATGACCAAAAAGCAAGTTGGGGGGCAGGGAGGGGGTGGTTTATTTGGCTTATATTTTCACATTGCTGTTCATCACTGAAGAAATTCAGGACAGGAACTCAAGCAAGGCAGGATCCTGGAGGCAGGAGCTGATGCAGAGGCCATGGAGGAGTCCTGCATATTGGCTTGTTCCTCATAGCTTGCTCAGCCTGCTTTCTTATAGCACCCAGGGATGGCACCATGCACCATGGGCTAAGACCCCCCACCCCACATTGATCACTAATTGAGAAAATGCCTTACAGCCAGGTCTCATGGAGGCATTTCCCCAACTGAGGCTCCTTTCTCTCTGATGGCTCTAGCTTGTGTCAAGTTGACACACAAAAACACACAGTACGAAGTGCATCCTATCACTGTGGGAAGCCGTGGGCAAAGGTGACAATGTTGTTGGTCCATGCTGTGAACAACTCTGAGTAGGCTTCTGGTGACAGTTCCTGTAGACTAGGCCAGCCTGAGTTCTTGCCATGTCCCTACATAAGAGTGTGGCTCCTATCTAAGAAGTTGAGATGACAGGCATTTCTTGTGCTGTTGGAGGGGTGCATCTGAGGTCTGGCCACATGGTGCTCCCCCAATTTGCCCAGGGTTGCAGAGTGATGTTAGAAGTGGACATGTGTCATTTCAGGGCTGGAGCCCAAGGCCCCACTGAAGACTCTGGAGAAAGGTCCAGCTGTGTGCAGCTTACAGGAGAGGACAAGGATGAGAAAGGAAGAGGAGGCATCAGACCCCACCTCTGCAGCTGCCCAGCTGTTGCGGCTCCAGGACTGTTTGCCGTCCAACTCACCCTCCTCTATGAGGTGACTCTAGATGGCCCACTTTGCTGGGCCCCATTGCCTGATACTGCCACCTCCTATCTGGAGCAGAGGCTGGCTTGAACAGGTTCTCCAAGAACCCTCATCCCCACCCCACTTTGAGAGGTAACCTGGTGTATGTAACCCTAGACAAACAACACCTGTTGATGTGGGACATGGTGCTCAGCTGGGCCAGCAGCAACCCTTTAGAGGTCCTATAGTGGGAAATTACCAATACGGAGTCAGGTAGAAATATAAGGGTATTTAACTGGGAAAAGCCTTACTTACAGAGCAACCTAGCCAGCCGGCGTGGTAGCAGTCTGTACCGCAAGAAACAAAGTGAAACGAAAGCGCAAACGCAGTCATACCCTCACAAGCGTGGTCAGGCACACCTGTAGCCAGCCCCTAAGTAGGCGTGGCTACAGCTTCCCCTACAATCCCTAAGTAGGCGTGGCTACAGCTTCCCCTACAAGGTCCTGCAGCCAGGTCCCATTCTTGAAGAAAATGTGAGACAAGTTCACATCACAGATCAGAGCCAGTGCTCAGTAAGGCCAGGTTGTTTGCTGGATTTCAGCAGCCATTCTGAAATCTCAGACCCAACGTAGTTTATTCATGCTGACCCCAGGCCTCTGGGCTTTCCCTCTGGGAGGGAAAGGCAAGTGGCCATACAAGGAATGGGTAGCCCACATGTACTGATCTGCTTTCAGGGTATTCCTGGGGCCAGAGGAAGCCCAGAAGCAGGCAGAATGGGCCCGAGCACCTATTGTACCCTTTGGAGTGGACCTGTGCTACTGGGGCCAGGAGAAGCTGACATCGGGAAAGATCCTTAAGTGAGTGTAAATTATCTGGTTCCAAGACTCAGAGCACGGCCTGGCCTTGTATATCTGTGCTCTGGCTCTTAGAACACTGGTGCTTGAGCCTTATTGTTGCTTTTTCAGGAGGTCAGTGAAGTCCATCCAGCTAAGGGGGAAGCTCAGTCCTGAGACCCTCCTTGCCATTGTGGCTCAAAATGCAGGCAGCTGATGAGCACAGTGTTAACTGGGGTCAGAGGCTGGATTCTTGTTCCCCAAGGACCTTCTGAGTGGGGCTATGCCAACAGAACCCAGGCTGCAGATGCTAAGAGAAGATAGGGGAGCAGAACACATCTAGGAGTACAGGTGAAAACTCATGTAGAAGGAAGGAGTCAGGGGTGGCTGGAAGGGCCCAAGTTGCATTTGCTGGCCCTGTATTTAACAGCTAGAGCTGGGAGTCTAAGACTAGTAAAGCCAATGATTGGGTGAAGCTCAGACTGGACTGCCTGGGTGCTAAGCTTACATGGTAGGAGTTGGGACCTCTAGAAGTCTAAGGAAAAGGAACCAGGTCCTGCTATGTGTCAGTTAGGGGGCAGAGTGGTAAAGCCTGCCCCATTCTCTGGCATCCAGAGAAAAGTGGCTTTAACAAGGTTAGATGATGGGCTGGGGCCATAGTTCAGTGGTAGAGTGCTTTCCTACCTCATGCATGAGGCCTTAGGTCCAATCCTTAGCACTGCTGGGTCCGGGAAAGGGAGGTAGCAATGTTTGGTGATAGCAAGATAGTGAAAGCTCCATCCTTTGGGTCTCTTGGCACTGCATGTAGACTGGATATGAATTTATATTACTTCTTCCTCTGGGGCATTGGCATTGTCAATGCCAGAGCCATATTCTCCCACTCAGTGGCAAAGAGACCCTTGACATGGATTCATGTTACTCTCAAAGCCATAGCCTGGGGCCCTGGAGCTGCTGTCCTGCTTTGCAAGGAGAATCTGAGCTCAGGCTAGTGGTTATACCCACCATCCTTGGCTGGTTCATAAACATCAGTATTTGAACCCAGTTGGAATGATTGTGTTCTCTAGTCCAGGAAGGCTTCAAGGCCACCACTAGCCAGTGCTCTCCTCAGGGCTGAAGTGCAATTGGGATTGGGCCAAACTCCCTCTTTTGGATCCAGAGTAGCTACTTTGAGGGTCTCTGGTGCATCTTGCAGATCTGACTCTCAACACCGCTTCTGGAAACCCAGCGAGATAGAAGAGGAGGTGGACAGTGCCCAGGTTTCTGAGATGCTCCATAGCCGACACATTACCTTTGCAGGGAAGTTTGAGCCTGTGCAGCACCAGTGCCGGGCCCTGAGGCCTAATGGCAAGCTCTGCGAACGACAGGATCGGCTCAAGGTAAGGCTGGTGGCCAAGGCCATTTGCATGAAGCTCTGGCTACCCAGGGAGAGGCTCCACCACCAGTGGCCTGGGGAAGTGCTTGTCCTCTTTGCCTTTGCCTTCATTCTAGACCAGAGATACGTGTGGGTCCTGAGGAGCCCTGTAGAAGAGGCCTTATAAGCCGTGTCATAATTGCTTAGCCACTGGTCATCAGAGAATCATGCTTGGGGTTCTCTACCCTGGGCCCTGGCATTGATTTCTAAGGGACTACCAAAACAACCAGACTGCTGCTCTGCAGCTAGAGCCCTGTGTGGGCTGCCCTGAGCTTGGAGAAGTATGTACATGCATGGAGACAGTAGTAGAATGGTGAGAAGTTGGTTTGGACAGACAGACATGAGTTCTCAGACTCCTGCTGCTGTCACTCCCCAGATCTCCCGCTCCTTGAAGAGGGCACATAATTACAGGGCTTGGCTGTGCCTCCTCCTCTAGAACTATTTGTGCCATCTCCTGGCCATCAATGTTTTATGCTTGTTGTATAGTGCCCATTCCATGGGAAGATCATCCCCAGAGATGACAAGGGGCAGCCCCTCAACCCAGAGGACAGAGCCCGTGAGCAAAGGCAACAGCTTCAGCGGCAGCAGGCACATCCAGGTAAGCGTGTGGGAACACGAGAGGGCTGCAGGTGCAGCCAAGTTGTGGTCACCAAGTTGCAAATTCCATTTGTAACTGAGAAGCAGGTCAGGGGCTCCATGGGCAAGGTTGGCTACACAGAACTAGTGAAGTAGTTATCTTCAAGTAGATACTCCTGACTCCATACACCACCATATCAGCATCTGCACAGAGGAATTGAACCCAGGGTCTTTGATATACTAGGTAAGCTGCAGTCCCCCAGGTTCCAGTTCTTATTCCTGCTTCCTGAGCAGATGAGGAAATTGCAGCAATCTCTCTCCTGATATGGTCCCCTCTCTAATTCTTGCACCTAGAGTCTTGGTGGTCTGTCTGCTGGCTCTGACTTGCCCTGCTCAGCTCCAACTCACCTCACTATCTACATGGGTGATCAAACTCAGACTAGTGTTTAAACCTATCCTGGAGGCTGTGGTCAGCCCATAGAAGACCCTTCTGTAAAGGGACAGGTCTACAGGCTCCTTCATGGCTTCTTGCCCTGTGGAGCTGAGTTGCGGATTCCTGTTTCATCCTGTGCCCAGAGACATGTCTGGGCTGTATAGCAGTGGGGAGGGCCTGACCTGTTCATCTGCGGGAGAAACCTTCCCTGGTGGCTCACTCTCAAGAGCAAATTAAGTGCCTATTTTTGTGTCAACCCTGAAGAGTATCTAGTTTTCCAGCCCTCGGTGGCTTGTTAACAAACAGGTATCAGGCCACGGGCCAAGCCCGGTGCTGGCCAGTCAGATGTGAAATAGCATCTCTTTACTAACTGCAGTATTGATCCCGCCTCCCTCGCACACGGGGCAATTTTCTTTTCCCTGGTGCTAACCTCGGTGACAATGCACACAGTGCTCCAGGGCCCTTCAGCGCCCAGGAAGGCCACACAGCCCCAGCGTCTATTGATTTTCTTCAAAGGCTTTTAAATTGCTCCTTCATTTTCCTGAGGTGCTCATTCCATCTCCACTGGATGCCGGCATTTTTTCGTTGTGTTTAAACAATTGCTCCATTCACCAGGTTCCTAAACTGTGACGCCTTCTTATTACTGGGAGATAAACTGTTTAGACAGTTTTCCTTAATCTTGGATTAATCGTCCCTGTATCTGAATCGTGCAGTCCTGAGTTCCTTCACTTCAAAAAAATCAGCTTGGAGAGGCCAAGCCATCTGTCTGTCTGGCGTGCTTGCTTCTCCCTCAGTGGACGTGCCCCTCTCACAGTCTGGCTTTGCTGCCACCCTTTCCAGGCACTGTTCCCTGTCCACTCTGCCCCAGCTCATGGATCTTTGACATTTGGGTGCCCTTGCAGTGAGGAATGTCAGGCGTCCTTCTGCCTACAAGGCTTACCCTGGAAGAGTTAGCTTTACTTTGCCTTCACTCTTCACTAGGCTGACTTCCCCAAGCCAGGCTGGAGCAATGTCATGCCCAACAGAGCTTAGGGCAGCCTCTGGAGGTGAGCCAGCAGAGACTGGCAAGGGAACTCGGGTGTCGCAGGCTCTGACCCCCAGAAGAGCCTGGTGCTTATTTTTATGGCTAGCCATCTCAGCAGCCCTACACATGAGTGGTCTTGCCATGGGTCTGGCCTGGCACCACAAGTAGTGCCCAGCTCACAAGAGGGGTAACTCTGCTCTGCACTCTGAGTCCCATAACCACATTTTCTGTGAGCCAGAGAACCCATTTCTAGCCTGCCATACACCTCAACTCTGGACACCCTTGCCTCACATGCCCGTTAGCCAGCAAATATGTCAGAAAGCACCACAGTTGGCCTCGCTGGGCTGCTTGGCCTGGTTGACCATAGCCCAGCCTATAGACACTCTGATTCTATGGCCAGTGGCCTTGCGTATTGTCCTGCTGGAATGGTCAGGAATGCCAGGAGTGGCTGTTGGGCTGGGCCTGCCTTGAATCCTCAGGATTCTAGGGGACTAAGTAATAGAAGCAGGGCAGTGGGAATAAGTAAAGAGATGTCCCTGTGTGGATCTCATCCCCAAAGTAGCCATGCCACTCAGCACAGATGCTCTCAGACTATGGTACTGGAGCATGCAGCAGGCAGGCTCCAGCCCTCCCTCCATCAGGAAGAAACCCACAAGGGTCACCCCTGGCTGGTGTCAGGCACCTTTTGAAATCCACAAGTTTTGTTCAGATTGGCAGGACCCTGAGTTTATGAAGGATGTGGAGGCAGCCACAGGGGTGGACCTCGGCTCATCAAAGTACAGCAAGAAGGGCAAAGGGAAAAAGAAGAAGCACCCCAATCTCACTGACCTTCGAGAGCATGCCAACACCACCAGGGCCCGCCTAGAGAAGAAGATCTTTGCCAAGTAAGAGCTTGTCACTGGCTAAGGCCTCGGACTTTGGTCTAGGATATGTTGGGGGAGAGCCACCCAAGTTGCCAGGAGCTTCTGGTGATTGTATTAATCAAGGTGATAACCAGGATTAACCATCACAGTGACCTCCAGCCCTGACAAGAGACAGGCCATGCCAAGAGCTGGTTGGGAACAGAGCTGCAGCTGGGTTCCTTTAGTACTCTTCTTAGGAGTCCACAGCCTCCTCTCTGTAAGTAGAGCCAGTTCCAGCAAAATGGTCCTAAAAGGCCACATGCTTACTTTGCTGTGCCCTGGGTAACTCCGCTCTGTACTGAGGTTACAGGGGTCACCTCAGGGAAGACAGACATAGTGTCCAATACTGCTGGGTCCAGACACTTCATCAGTAAGCTCCTTGGTCAGCCTTGGGTGAGGTGGAGGCTGGGCCGAATAGGCCTCCTGCCTTCTCCTTTTTCTCTTTCTGCTGAATCCTCTGACCTCTAGACATGAGGCCCATGTTCACTGTGCCTTCACCCTGGGGTGCAGTCTGGGATGACCAAGTGTGCTCTTGCAATTGCCTTCAGGACTGGGAGATACAACCAAGGCCCATGGTGGGTTATAGCTCAGACTGGTGAGCCCCATTCTGTCTGAGCCCCACCTTATAGAAGTCCAATACCCAGTGGAAGCCTTTATGAGGTCCAAAGGCAGCAAGCCAACCCAGGACCCCAAGTCTTGTCAGGTCCTTAGTCATATCTTACTTTGCTCTCTCCATAGGGCAGCTGTGCAGAGAGTAGTTGCTGCCATGAACCAGATGGACCAGAAGAAACATGAGAAGTTTGCAAACCAATTTAATTATGCACTGAATTAAAGGGGTATGGGATGAATGTGCTGTGGTCCCCTTTGGCTGTCAGTTCTTTTACTTCCACCAGTTTACTAGGATAGGAGCATAGGGTTAGGTCTGGGTAGAATCAGAACTTAGTGTTTATGTATGTAAGTAACAATGGAAAATGGTATCTTAAAATGCCCTCCAGTAGGCCAGGGAATGTAGCTTAGCAGTAAGGCCAGGGTTTGGTTTCCAACAATTTTAACCATGCATATGGCAACACACTTAAAATTCCAGCTCTTGGGGACATAAACAGGACTGTGAGTTCTAGGTCAGTATGGGTTACAGAGCAAGGCTGCTTAAAAAACAACAAAAAGATATATGAGGTGATGCACACCTGTAATCCTGGCACTTAGGAGGCAGAGCAGGAGAATCAACACAAGTTAAAAACTAACCTAGTATATTTAGTAAGTGACAGGCCAGCCAGACTTTGTAAGGAGAGTGTGTTTCCAGGGGAGGAAAAGCCCTTCAGAATAGCTTACCGCATTGGAGTCGGGTAAAGGCAGGCACCCCATCTGGTTGTAAGTCAGGTCTTGAGCAATAAGTGTGTTCCCATTAGGGCTGTGGACTTGGTGATGGCTTTAGAAACCCACCCTTTCATGCACACATTGTTTAATACAGATGTACAACTCCTAGTACAGAGCTCTGTGGAATGGCTCTTTTGAGCCCTAACTCATATATGCAGCTCACCTAGTACATGCACAGTACAATGACACTGTCTGCTTCCAGAACTTTATCCCCCTAGGACAAATTGCTTACCAACCCCACTTCAAAGCTCCCTTTCTGTTGAGGATTTGTGTTTTCTAGAATAATTGGGTTTGTAGCTTTTTGTTTTTGTGTTTTGTTTTTTTGAGATGTGGTCTCTTTATGTAGTTCTGAAAGTCCTGGAGCTCACTATGTAGACCAGGATGGCCTCGAACTCACAGAGATCCTCCTGCCTTTGCCTCTTGAGTACTGAGATTAAAGGTGTAAAGGCATGTGCCACCACTCCTGGGTGAGTCCATAGCCTTTTGTTTCTGGTTTCTTTCCCTTTATTTTAAGGTTCTTACATGTTGTAATACATAGCAATACTTCATGTCTACCAGCCAACCCTACACAGAGAGAATACTACTAGAAGCAATACTTTGGACCGAAGAGAGGAATAAGCAGAGTTAAGAGACTACAGAAAGAGCCAGGCATTGGTGGCGCACGCCTTTAATCCCAGCACTTGGGAGGCAGAGACAGGTGGATCTCTGTGAGTTTGAGACCAGCCTGGTCTACAATAGCTAGTTCCAGGACAGCCTCCAAACCCACAGAGAAACCCTGTCTCGAAAAAAACAAAAACAAAAAAAGAGAGAGAGAGAGAGACTACAGAAAGAAAACAAGTGAAGCTGTAATTATGAAATCATAAAACAGGACAAAGAATACAAAGAGCAAAACAACAGTAACCAACACACACCTTTAAATGATAACTCTATAATGACCTCAGCTCTCCAATCAAGAGATACTGGTTAGTTGAATGGATTAAGAACTCACCTTCAAAGATCAGGGATACCTTGAAGTGAAGGATGGAAAAAATAGTCTAGCAAATGGGTCCAGAAGCAAGTAGGTATCACTACCTTTCTATTTTTATTTTTTTCTATTTTTATTTTTTAAGACTTTTTTTTTGTCTCACTATGTAGTTTTGGCCTGCTGTATAAACCAGGTGGGCCTTGAACTCACAGAGCTCTGCCTGCTTCTGCCTTCCAAGTGGTAGAATTAAAGCCATGTGCCACCTTGATTAGTCAGTATTGCTGTTTTAATATCTGGCAAAATAAGCAGGTGGTGATGGTGCATGCCTTTAATCCTAGCACTTGGGTGGCAGAGGCAGTTTGGTCTGTATAGTGAGTTCCAGGACAGCCAGGATTACATAAAGAAACCCTCTCTTGAAAAACATATATATTTCAGACTAAAATTAATCAGAAAAGATAAAGAAAGACACTTCATTCTAACCAAGGACAGTTGACCAAGAATACATTACAGTTCTGTATGCACCAAACTCTGGCCCACCCAATTTCATAAGAAACATACTATTGAACTTAAAGACACAGATTACTCCAAGTCAGTAGTAGTGGGTGATTTCAGTACCCCACTTTCTCCAGTAGACAGGTCATCTGGATAAAAAAAATAAACAGAAACATCAGAATTAAGTGATATTGTACATCAAATGGAACTAACCAATATATACAGAATGTTTCACCCAGACACTAAAGAATATACATTCTACACAGTAGGCCATGGACACTTCTCTAAAATAGATCACACCAGGAGTTGGTGGCACATGCCTTTAATCTAAGCACTCGGGAGACAGAAGCACTTAAGTTTGAGGCCAGCCTGGTCTATAGAGTTCCAGGACAGCCAGGGCTACACACAGAGAAACCCTGTCTTGAACAGCCACCCCCCAAAAATCAGAAAAGCACTAAATAAATGACTTAATTATGTAATTCAATAGTTTGGAAAAACAAGAACAAATTCCATTAGAGAGGGATAAGTAAAAATAACAGCATAAATTAATGAAATCAAAAGAAAATACAGAGAATTAATGAATCTGAAAGTTGATTCTTTGACAAGCTATCAGCAGATCCTTGGTCCAACTAACCAAAAGAAGCAAAGGTATGATTCATATTAAAAGAATTAGAGTTGAACAGGGAAACTCACAACAAATACCAGTGAGATTCAGAGTACTATAGGGAATACTTTTAAAATCTATTGGTCATTAAGTTAGAAACTTTAGAAGAAGTGGATAAGACACATATGGTGCACCTACATGCAAGCAAAACACTCATATGCATAAATTCTTTAAAGAATTTTTATTTTTTATGTTATTGGTGTTTTGCCTGCATGTATGTCTGCACCATGTTTATCCTGGTTTCTACAGAGGCCAGAAAAGGCAGGTCAAATCCCCTGGAACTGGAGTTACAGTCGTTAGCGGTTTTGTGGGTGCTGGGAATTAAACCTGAGACCTGTGGGAAAGCAGCCACTATTCGTAACTGCTGAGCCATTTTGTATCTAACCTCTCAGGTTTGGTTTGGTTTTGTTTTAGTGGAAAGTATACCTTATAATTTTGATTCTCACTTTTCTAATGACTAATGGCAGTCATTTGTGTTTATTGGCCACTTGTATCTGCTCAAATAACTTCCCGTTTTCAATTGGGTTGTCTTGTATGAGTTTCTGTAGATGTTCTAAATGCTGCATTCCCTATGTAATGTTTTCTCCTTGTCTTTTCACCTTGATAGTTCCCTTTAAACTTCTTAATCTCTCTCTGTGTGTGTGTGTGTGTGTGTGTGTGTGTGTGTGTGTGTGTGGATACACACATGCATGTATGGAGGTCAGAAGACAGCTTTAAAGAGTCCATTCTTTCCTATAACCATATGAGTCCTGGGGGTTGAACTCAGCATGTGCCTTTACTCACTGAAACCATCTTACTGGCCCCAAAGTTTTTTATTTTAATAAAGTACATTTATATATTTATTTTTGCTGTTTGTGCTATTGTTACTATTTCTAAAATATTGTGTATATATATATATATATATATATATATATATGTATGTGTATGTATATATATATGTATGTATTTATATGTATATGTATTGCTCAATTTACTCCTAGGTGTTCTTCTAAGATTTTTATTTATTTTGTTGTTTTGTTTGTTTTGTTGAAACAGGGTCTCTCTACATAGCCCTGGCTACACTGGAACTCACTATGTAAACCAAGCTGGCCTCAAACTCTGCCAGTCTCTTGCCTCTTGAGTGCTGTTCTTCTGAGAATTGTATAGTTTTAGCTCTTACATGTAAAGTTCTGACCCTTTTTGAATGAGGTTTTGTATGTACTGTGAGATAGACCAGCTTTATTGTTTGCATTCAGGACTATAGTTGTCCTTGCACCTTTACTGAAAACATTACCCTTTACCGTTAAATCATTTTTTTGATTGCTAACCATTATAATCATTGGCCATTGTCTTAGTTAGGGTTATTATAGCTGCGAGGAAACACCATGACCAAAGAAGGTTGGGGAGGAAAGGGTTTATTCCGCTTATGCTTCCACGTCACAGTTCATTATCAAAGGAAGTCAGGACAGGAACTCAAGCAGGGCAGGAACCTGGAAGCAGGAGCTAATGTAGAGAGGTCGAGGAGGGGTGCTGCTTATTGGCTTGCTCAACCTGCTTTCTTGTAGAACCCAGGGTCATCAGCCCAGGGATAGCATCTCCCATAGTGGACTAGGCTCTCCTCCATCAATCACTAATTAAGAAATACAGGCTTACCCTGCAACCCAGGCTTATGGAGGCATTTTTCTCAATTGAGGCTCCCTCCACTTGGATAACTCTAGCTTGTGTCAAGTTGACATAAAACTAACCATACACCTGGATGTGGGCTTGTGGTTTGTTTCCTGTTTCTTTTCCCATTGACATCCACAGCAATGCCAAGACTGTGGCTCTTAATTACTGTAGCCACATGGTAAGCTTTGGATCAGATAGGTTCGAGCATTCCTGCTGTTATGCTTTTAGATTTGGCTTTTCTGAGTCTGTATATTTCCAAATGAATTTTAGGACCAATTTTTCACTTCCTGCCTTATGTCCCAGGAGATAAAATTTTGATAGGGATTTCATTCAATTTAATATCACTTTGTGAAATTGTGACCTCCTAATACTAAGACTTATGAGTCATGAACTTCTGGTAGCATTCCATTTAATAGAATTGTCTAATTGCAGTGTTTTATAGTTTTTTATATGTCACTTGTGTTTTTAAATCCCTACGTAATTTAAAGTTTTTATACATATGATTGTTCTAAGTTCTGTGTTTAGAATATTTGTTGCTAATGTATAGAAATACAGTTGATTTTTTATTTTGATCTTGTATCCTGCCATTCTGTGAAGCTTTTCTGTTAGCTCTAATAGCTTTGTGTATTTCTGTGTGTTCCTTAGAATTCTCTATGCACAGTCCTGGTATCCATAAGGAGAGACGTTTCCTTTCTCCTTTCCAGATACGGA